AATATGAAAGAATTGATTCTGACCATAAAAGTGTATCACTCTTTAAGAAAATAAAAATCCAGGCAAGCAAGGCTACCAAAAATCAGGTTAAATGTGAAACAGAGATTATGAAGAGCTATAGATCAGAAATAGGAAGCCTGGTTTTCTTCCCTCTCCCTCATCCTTGCCCAGTCATGATTTTCTCTAGCTGAAATATGAAAAGTAAATTGTCTAAAATATCAAAATAAAGAAAGGACCACAGGAGAAGTAGTAAGTCCATTAGAACCCCAGTGTAAAAGAGGAAATCAAACAGGATAAGATTGTTTCATAAAACTAAATTATTTCTTTACATGAGCCTTTAGAGATAAAGATGAGAATACCTGTCCTGGGATTACTCTTTCCACTCTTCAGACATAAAGCGAGAAATAAAGAGGTCAAAAAACCAAAAAGTTTCTGAAATTAAAATGGCAATAAAGACACTGTTTCTTCAAGTAAATTAAGTGCATGATGAAGACATCAGCTGTTTCCTGCCCCTATCCACAGTAGGTTTACCCCCAGGTGCTTGAGGAAGGCAGAATGAAGGATAAGGTTTGGATAAAAGTTCCAGATGCCCAAATCCCAGAAATGCATGTCCCACAAAAGGGGAAAGCCTCAGACCTCCACAGTGACTACCCGGTGTGCCTCAGCCCTGATGCAGAGGCCAGGATCAGGAGCGAGAAAATCCCGTTTCTTGTTCACAACTGTTTGATTATGGACTCATCTGCAGAAATGCTAACTAGTGCCATCTGCAGCGACATTTTTGTGGAAGAGAAGAAGTCAAGCGTTAAAACAGAACCAACTCTGGCTGCATAGACTTCTGGATAGCTGTCAGCTGCCAGTGTAGCTTACAATCACAACTCACCCCTGGACACATTTCAAGTTAGTGACTGGCTCCATGATCTAGCCTAATCCTTTAAACCACTCAACCATTTAAGTGACCAGGCTTGATCTCGGTTCCAATAATGACTCGTTAGGAAATCATTTCAGGAATATTAGGAAGTCTTTAAGGAAAAAAAAACAACCCACCACTCTCAGATAAGACATTGAGTAATTCCATAGACACCTTAAGAAAAATCGCCTGTCTTATTTTAAGTTGCTTTCTTTGTATTTCTTAAAAACCTGTTGAAGTAAACCACTGCAAAACAAGATACTCTTTACATGGGAATGGAGCTCCATTCACATCCCTGTTTTCACAGCAGTGCATGCACACACCCATTTCTGTGCCTGCACCTTGATGTGCCTTCCATGGTACTTTGCTGGTCCTGGGATTCCTACACTGGAGCCCAGCAGAGGCTCAATTTGGGTAGATGCAGTTTTCTGCTGGTGTTTTTATTAGGAACTGGAATGGCTTACAGCTGGATCTTGTCAGAAATATTCTCATTAGTTCTTCCCTGCATCAGAACATTTCCTCCTCCCATCAGAAAATGCTGATTCTGAGCTCATTGACTCTCTTTGCCAGTTCACAGCCTGACAACCCTGGGCTCAAACACTCCGATTATCATCTGCTTTCTATAGGTCATTTAATCCAAGCCCTACCACCTTGCTACTTCTATACCCATCTCGACCGTATTTTTTTCCTATCTTCCTTACCACTTGTTCTACTACATAGTTGGTCGGACTTCTTACAGAGGGTTGAAGTTGAGAGTTCAGGTGAAGGAAGAGTAAGAATAGGGTTTGACCTGCTGCAAGCTGTTTCAGATGCAGCAGGACATGAAGAAAGAGTGTCACCCTACAAATTGCACTGAATTTTAATCTTCTGTTCTTACTCTTTGATTATACAGACTGAGGTTTGTATTACCAACCCTTACAGTCATCTCCACACCCAAATGCATTGCTGCAGTTGGAGGCAGAACAGCTTCATTCATCTCAGAGGCAATCACCTGCCCACTTGGGGCTATATCCTATTTTCTGTTCCTTCTCTGGCGGTGTGTTGTTGGATCAAGAATATATTACTTATTTTGGGACTATTCTCCAGCTCCAAATCAGCCATACATGCTTACACTGCTGTAAAGTCATAATGATGCAATCGCAGTAGAGTGGTCAAATGCATATGAAGTGTGTTTATAACGTAAAATCAACTCACTGTCTCTACAGCTCTGCTCATCTTGTAGCAGCTGCTTTTCTGATTCCATAAAGTATACTCTCCCCCTTTATTTCTCCTCTTCAACCTAGAAGATCTTTGTTTCTCTCCCTGTTCTTACCACTTATTTCCAGTCAGTAGCCATAACCTAAAATTGAAACTGAACAACCGAAGATGGTATGGATGAAAATAAAGTGTAAAAACATCAAAGTTCATCCTAAAAATAGGTGACATAACTCACTAATTTTCATAGAACCAAAGATCACTTTCCTACAAAACTCTTAAAACAAGGAGAAGAATATTCAACACAAATTTTAACATGTATCAATACATTGCTTTCCAAATAAGTTATTTTTCACTTTTTATTTTTTGGTATGGAGAACCAGCACACATATTTTAGAGGAGGTATTTTTATAGAAGGTACATCAAATTATAGCTGAACCTAAAACTACCATTCTGTTGCAGGATCTCTTCAAAAGTCACATCAGTGGCTTGGATATCCCCGTTGAACAGAAATGCTCCAACTCAGCACCAAACCAGAGCTGTTTGTTTCTGCCTTGGCCTCCATCTTGGGCCGTCTCTGTATGAAAACAGTTTTCACAGCACACACTCACAACTGAAGACTATTTGCATTGTCTCTCTCTATAAAAGAGTAATTCCATCACCTCTCCTTTGGATCCACACACGGGAGTGAAGAAAAAAAATGCTTTTGTGACCTACAAAAGCCTTACTTGAAATAATTCTCTGCGACTTGAGGCCTTTTGGAATGGAAGGGATATATTGTTTTGACTTGATTAAAGCTGAAAAGTTGATTTGACATCCTGTTGTCAAGGAAACCAATTCACACACAAAAGAAAACAGTTGTGATGGTATCATTCAGACTATTCAAGTGACCTTAGAAAGAAAAAAAGGCTTCAGTTCCAAAGATTTGTATTCAACTCACTTCACCACAGTAGAAATAAAGATCATTGCTCTTTATGCTTATTGGAAAGCAGTTTTCAATCTGGAAAAAGCAAAATGCCACATCTTCTTCCAACTGCCAGATCCAATACTTTGCTGGGACTGTACACATAAACACACCTACCATTTATTGCCTATTTCAAAGGACACAGAAGACAGATAGGGAAGGAGAGGAATTTCTTTAATTGACAAGACCATGATAAATACCCCCTGATACGTACCAGACCTATTGAACAGCAGCTTGCAAGCCACGTTTTAAAACATCCTCCTTTAATTATAAATAAAGCTTACCTCAATACAGCAATATTTGGGCCCAGCTTTGTTTTCCTGGGAGATATCAGAAAGCAGCATTTATTCTCTGCCAGCCTCCTAGACCCGTCACAAATTGAGTTTTTCATGCGCACAATAAATGGAACATGGTTATGTTCAGTCTGCTCACTCCTCCTACCTACAGGATCCCCAAGAGGCAGAACTGTCCTGGCTGACCACCACTACCACCATCGTCCAGTTTTGCAACCCGTGCAAGTCTCGCAGAGGTTTCCTTCGCTAACAGCTGTGGGTAGGTTGGAAAAATGAAACTTTCTATCTATCTGCTCACATACTGCAATTATACATCTCTTTCTCCAATGACATAGCCTCTGCCTGGCCGAGCGAGCAGACAGACGACTAAATAGCAACTTGTCTCAAATTCAGCTTAAGAAAAAATAGGCATGATATTAATAAGGAGGGAAATATACTGAGGAATGAATGCCAGTGTTCTTACATTATTGTCATTTAAGGGCATCACACCAAAGGTCACGGAGATAATAAGCCTCAGTCATTTTCCATTTGTTACACAACATACAAATTGCCACAGTGTTAATGAATATCTTTCTCCAATCCTGGTCAGGCAAGACACCGTATTATTTCCTCTTAGACAAGTACCTAACCCTTGGAATTCATTATTTCCATCACTTCTTGCAGCACTTTGTCCTTAGGGCTGAGCATAAATGCCACACAGCGGCTGTGACTGGAGCATCAAATGCTTCATATGCCTGAGTCTGACTTCTTTCTGATAGACCTTTTTTGCTGGAAGAGCATACAAAGCATATTTATATCATTTATGATCAAATATGCATGCACACATTCATATATGCTCTCTTACAAGCATCTTAAACTCCTTGCATAACGCAGGAAAAAAACGTTTACATTGTCTGTACTTTGTGATATTTGTGGTTATCCACTTTGTGGATATTGCTTGGTACTTATATAATGAAATAATAGTTATGCTAGAAACACCATCTGACCACAACAACAGAAGCTACCATGAAATAACTGCATTTCCACTTAAAATGATGACAACTGGAAAGTAGTTCTTGGAACAGAAATTACATTCACAGAAATTTGGACAGGCTTGTGTGAAGGGATATACTGCTGAAACCCTCTTTACTCCTAATAAACTGCTAAGATAGCACAGCTGAGCTATACAGAGAGGAATGCCTCATTTCTGATCTGTACTTCATTGCATTTTAAGTTTAGGAATTTTGCATAAATACAGATAGCAACAGCTTAACCAAATTCATACTATTTCATAAACTAGGTGAAGGTTTTTTAAGATGTTAAATTATTATTTCTACTGTTCACCATAAGTATAAAGAATATGCAGATGAAAAGAGAATATTGAAGGCTGGTAGCTTTGTGTAGTTCTGAAAAAGACTAAACTTTATGTGCATAATTAAAATTAAAAAGAGAAGAACGAAGTCCAACACCAAATGCTGAACTAAAATAAGTCAAGGTTACTTTCTGCACGAAATCAAACAGCCTTCGCCTCTGTCCCCCAGACTGAAACACCACACTCCAAATTTTGATGAACAAATTATCTCAGCATTTTGTCCTCTCCCCCCAAAAAACCCAAACAGCAAGTGCCAGAATAGAAGAAAGCTGATGGCACTTCTAAGCTTACCCACAAACAGGTCCATACTCTGTTATGAGTTTTGTGTGGTTTTCCCAAAAGCCCTGGATAAAAGAAAAATAACAAAGTCTTTTAGAACAGTACTTAACAGAAACTCTATTACACAGTTTTGCTAACATTCACACCAAAGCTTTGAATATCAATTAGGAAAACCATGGTATTAACGCATAACCTCAACTTTCTCTCGTTGTCCATCTGTGAGAGTAGGGTCTAGAAATGATGACTGAAAAAAAATCCCAACCACAAAAAAGACCTGGAAATCCGTGTTTTCATGAGGGTTTTTACACTCCAAAATATGTTACCATTTAATGATTATTTTTATAAAACTAACTTCATGATTGAGCTCCTGACTCATAACTTTTTTCTGATATGTGTGTGGATGGAAAAACTGACAGAGAAATTAATAACAGAATAAGTATGTGACTTAACTACACTCAAGAGAAATACAAGGAATGTGGAGAGTTTGTCTTGTTTTAGTTATATTATTTAAAAAAAAAAAAAATCACCCAAACCTGCTAAGTTGGGGTTGAGCATGAGGCAGTCACCTGGGACACTCTGCAGAATAGTAAGCAGATATATTTTAACAAACTTTTAGAATTTTTACTGTGTGCTTCATTTTCATAATGGATGAAAATTGGTATCCATTTATATAAATAAACCTGCCACTATACTAAATTGTTGGTGTCCTACATGAATTCAAATTGATTAATCTGAAAGAAGGTATGCAAAATGTATCCCCAAAATGAATATAAAAAACTCTGTTTTAACAAAACTGCGGTATTTGAGAATTATACTACATTATGTTTGTAACTTGTCTATGGAAAAATAACACATCTGACTGCATTAATCTGCATTTGTATTAATTCAAGAAAGACTATTGTGATCTATCTTCATTCTTCAGAGAAAATTCACTAACAAGGTAGAATACTTATGCCTTGTATTGAATCTTTCTCATTTTTTATGACATACTGCAGAATATTAGCTAGAACAATATGAACTATTGTAAATGCATAACCATAGACATAAATAAACAAGACCGTGTAATGCGTGTATGCTTTGGGAGCATTTTACCACACTAAGCAAAAGAAAACCTGGCAATCAAAAACAGTTATCCTACTTATCTCCCAAATTAACAAAGTACTTGCCATGACCTGCAGTTCTCCTCTTACAGAGCCTTTCAGTTGTTTTTTATTTTTAATACAGTTGTGTTTGTGTTTTTTTTTTAATCCTGGACTTTCAATATGTTTCTTCTATAGGTCAATACGTCTCCAGGTTAAGGCAAGAACTTTATGTTTTCCTTAAGCTACAAAAAGCTAAAGCACCGGATGGCATGCAAGAAAACACATTAAAGTTAAAATTATGAAAAAGGGGATTTAGATGATTGCCTGGAAAAAAAAAATTATATATATTCTCACCTGAAGAATACTTTACTACTAAGATAAGCAGAAAGGTATCATCCATTAGCACACAAAAACTAAGGTGGAAAAAGCCTTTGTGATACCACAAATACATACTGCTCATTCAGAAAGGCTTTTATCTGCAGACACCGAAGGAGGGGAAAAGGTACATAGGCATTGGCACCAGCGTGCGTTCTGCTAGCGCAATGCTTCAGCAGGAGCAGGATTTCAGCCCGCAGTTGTTATGATTTCAGCATTACAAAGGTTGCCTCCTGCCTTCCCCCTCGAGTGCAAGGGGAAATCCTGGGCCAAATCCCCCCTGTCCAAGTGGCCATCTAAGACCGCGTGAAGCAGGCTCAGCTTGTTGCTGCGCTCTGATGGAGCGGGTCTCCAACCTGCCTAAACCCTGCTGATGGATTTGTAGCCACCCCGAGGCACCAGCACCACCCGGGACAGAGTCAAAGTCAGGGTGCAAAGCACTGCTGCCTCACAACGCCATCGGGGCAGAGGGACCTCCAGTCTCGCGAGATGATGCCGAACCAGGTCTGCCCTCCTCCTAGCCTGAGCCTTCAGTGAGGACAGCCCAAACTACAGCCTGAACCTCGTCTGCTAAGTTTTGCTTTGGATTGAGAGCACACACATAGGTATTGCACTTGCTCTATCCACCAGCTGCATTCCAGCGAGCCAGCAGGATATTAACATTTACAAGAATCCTAGGCTTTAAATGATTCAGTGAAAAAGCCTTCCAGAAAGCCGGCTTCTTGGAAACACTGCTCCTGGCTCACTACAGTAGAGGGGTCAGGTAGAACACATTTCAAATCAGGCCTGTTAACCAATAACTGGTTTTCCACCTCCAGGTCTCCTAAATGATTGAACTGGCTTAAAATTAACCACGCTTTTGCTTCCCCAAAGTGAGAAGTACAAGCCTACAGAAATGGGGGAGGGAAGGAGTTGAAAAGTGTCTGGGAGAGACTGTGAGAAGGCATCGTTAAGAGTGAAAAAAAGCACTTGTTCTCTACACTTTGGGATGCTTACTCCTGTCCTACACCACCACACACACATACACACCACTGCTTGCCTCCGCCATCCACCCCCAGGACCTACTGCTGTCCTGGCCCCCTCCAGAGGCATGGTGGGTACCCAGGAGCAGGTCTCATCACGCTGTCTGGGAAAGATGAGCAAACATCCCACGCAGAGCCCTGCAAGGCTGTGGTGGCCAGAGCAGTGGTGAGGCAGAGGGAACGTGTGTGTGCATCCGTTACAAGCCAAAGCATGCCCTTCAGCTGGAGGTCGTATGAAGGCATTTACATTTCTCCTCAATAGCCATCAGGAAGGTTAATGAACCTGTGAGGGTCTCAGTACACAGTGAGGGGATATGCCACACAGCTCTGCCAGTTTTGCAGCATCATCCCTGAACACGGCTTCCAGTAGACAGGTATCTTGAAAACCTCCTCCTCCTCCTCCTATGAGTCATGTTTGAAGCACAGCAAGCCTCCTAAGTGCTTTTGGTAACTTATTTACACTAGCTAAGGTCGAACTGCTCCAAGGCTCACTACTGCATGTTTGTCTGGTTTTATAATTGCAATTGTACTTAATACTTACAGGATAACTAAGCACCTGCCCACCTGCAGCAACAGTTTGACAAGAAAATGGAGATCAAGACCGTGCTGACTCAAGACCACCCAAAAGGGTGAACACAAGGAGAGGAAGTGAACTCAGAAATGGTGCCTGCTGACATGTACCCGGGAACTTAAAGAGTCATCAGAGAGGAGCTATAACGAAGCAATGTGGGGGTTAAGAAGGGGGTAAATAGGGAAAAATGGAACCATGATTCTAATTTTTTAGGAAAACAGAAGGAAACTGAATAGCAAAATAATGCATGGTGTTATGAGATGACACCACATGCATCAGGAGAAACTGTACAGGATTAAACAGTCACTCGTAACAATGAGATGTAGAAACATAGTAATGTTGTTCCAAGTCAGAAAAATCACTTAGCTTTTTCTTTGAAAGCTGCAGAATATGAATTGTCAACAACTCAGAAAAGGGTTGGGACAGGGGGAACTTGCTGTGTGTGGCCCCTATAGTGAGTACCAGCCTGATGACAGCCTATTATCAAACAAGATAATGCAGGAGTATGAAAAGCTTCTTTCCCTGAAGAAAGCATATTTTACAGCATCTGGTACACCATGGAAACAGCAGCTCAAGTGGGCTGACTGCTGCACACCCAGAAGGCTTCTTTGTTTACATGGCTGGCGGTTGCCTCCCTACAGGGAATTTGCATTCTCCCCTTCCTCTGAGCGTGTATCATCAGTTGCATCCGTGGGTAGAACCACTCACAAGGCCAAATCCTGCTTTCAGGGATACAGGTGTAACCCCTATGGAAAGGAACAAGATTTGGGTCTGCATCAGTCAGAGCCAAACCTGGCCATAGCCAACCACTTATCCTGAGATACTGAACATTGAGTCTTACACCTGAGCAGCACACACATTTTCCCCTTGTTGCATATTCACCTTGATAGTTCTTTGCAGCAAGAAAAAATCTGCAGCAATGTCATCTTTCCTCCTTGCTGAAAATGGGTGTAGGCGCTAAGCCAAAGTTTCAGAAAGAGGCAGTAACACCATGCATTTCATTTTTGGGGTGTCTAACATGAGGCACAACCAACCTACTCTTATTAGTTACTCAATACCTGCAGATCATGTGGCTGCAAATGGGGACTTAAGTGACTTTAAGCTTAAACTGAAGCTTAAAGTGATGGAGACTGCACGGGGGATGCTTTGTAACGTTTCAACTTGCAGCAGCCGGAAAATAACTCACACGGTTTATGAACTCAGCTATAGTCCTTGCGTGTTACTAGATAAAATGATTTAAAGGTGGCCATGTAGCTGGGATCCGGCTGATGCATGCTCCTGATGGTAGCTCAAAATTTGGACTCCAAAAAAGTGACTTCCACAATGCATAAACCCTTGAATTTTGTAGTGTACTGAATACTACGAAAGCTCCTGAGGCATGTGGACAGCAAAGCAGTGTGCCCATCAAAATCCATTGCAAGTGTGAAACCATGCAAGAACAACCAAGGGAAAAGAAAGGCTTCTTTTGTTGCCCTTTTCGGAAGAGAATCACAGTGTACCTAATGTCAGACACTTACCAAAACAGTGCAGTCTCAAACCTGTCTCGGAAGCCAAAGAAACCGCATCCCATCACTAGCCCCACGTACACTCCACTCTCAGCACTCTGTAGTCAGACATGATGTTCTGTTTCACTATGATATTAATAACCAAAGCATCATTCTTTGAGTGCACACCTCATATCAGGAGACAAAAATCTATACAGTTATTTATGGTACATAATGACAATGAGTTACATGTATGGATCTGATTTTTAGTATTCAACGGGCTTCACATGTCATTTTTACTTAGAACACCTGGAAAAAAAAAAAAACAAATAACTGCTCATAACCTAGTGCCCAAATTGATTTTTTTTTTAATACAAGCTAACATTTAATTAAAGAAATCTTGTACCAGACTGCAGCCCACTTTGAAGGAATGACCCCAGACTGTACATCATCTCCAGTAATAATCCTAGTGAAAACACTAGGATGCCAGCAGACGCGAGGAGGAAAACAGCATGAACTTCTAACCATCCT